ACGCTTCCGGGGAGGGGACCTAGATCATGAGAATCGGCTCGGGGAGCTGAGAGGAACTGGGACTTCATATCTGAGGAGTTGTGATGGATCAGTCGCGTTGCTCGATCCCTGGCAGGAGTCTCTCAGATTGTCCGGGTCGAAGTTGATTTCAGAGTGTCTTCTTCGCATTATCTATTACAATATTGCTCCTCTCGTTAGCGCTCGGTGGAGGCGGTTGATGGGATATAGAAGGTAGCCGAGCGGGCGGGCGAACGAACGAACACTCCGACAAGCAAGCAAACCAAGCAGGCAGGCAGGCGGGCGGGCGGGCTGGATAGCTTCGTAGCCCAATTCTTGGGCGTGCAACTTCATATCCATCGTTGTTGTAATCCCCTGCTCCCCTCGAAGCTAGACTAGTCCATATTGTACACTGCAGGGTGTCCGTGTGTGAGTGCGCTGCGCGCCCCGACTTCATGGGAACAGAGAACGCTTGGCTCGAGCAGGGAAGGCAGGGCTTACCTTTACATTTGGTCTCTAGCTTTGGTTCGTTGACGGCTACCGATTCTTATTGAATCAAGAGAGACTGTAATTGGCTGTTTATCGTTCCGCATTAACCCGATTATTCACGAGAAGTGTCGCCTTCCTGCGCTCGCTGACATGCTCGTGCACGCCCGCGGTTATATTTCGTTGCGGACAAGCGATCGAGCGGACCACTGGTGGCCTCTATCAGAAGAAGAAAAAATAACAAACCTCACCAATAAACACCTCATTCATCTAATAGCATGGGAATACAGCTCGCGGCGGAATCGGTCCTTACGAAACCCCCACATCGCGGGAGAACGAGTAAATGGCACGATTCCGCGAGGAACGATCAGCCTAATCTCCTCGAATTCCATCTCAGAGTGTTCCTCAGGTCGCCCAGAGCTCGTGGGGCGTAATTCTGTGGTCCGCGGCTTCTCGTGGGTACGATGCGATCTTTTGTGCGAAAAAAAAGTTTGTGGATAGCTCAGAGAGCGGAAACCTAACTCAGTCCGTCCTTCTGTTCGAGCGATCCCCGAGCCAGACTTGCGAGACGACGAAAATCGTTGACGAATCTCGTGATTGCGACGATAATAAGCACGATATGATTTGCATCGAACAATCTTTCTCATGCTCCCAAATGGGCAAAAGTTATGCGAACCGAGACTTGCTTGCACCGCATGAGTTTTATGTTAAACACGACGATGCTAAGCGCTCTCCAGAGGGTGACTGGATCGCGACCCTGAACTGACTCTGACTGAGAACTCGAATCGCCGGCGGTTTAGTACCTACCCTAGTCCGGGTCTTGTTCTCATTCGTCTTATTGTGGCCGCTGTTGTTCTCGTTCATCTTATTGTTGTTGTGTGGATCTTCTTCACATTGTCGTTGTTGCTTAAGTTTCGATTGTTGCTCTCGCGGCGGCAGCGCTGCTTATTCTGAGTGAACTTCGAATTGACGAGCTGGGTTTACAACGCCTGAGAGCGATCGATGTATGAAGATAGGGATCCAGCTTACAAATACCACTCAAACAACATTCGATTGCGGCCAAGTGATAATGGGTAATTGATGACTTCTGCGGGCTCGAGGTTGTGTCGAGCTCTTGGCGCTGAGCTTCTGTCGCTGTCGCGTTCGGAGGCGGCTTCGGCGGCCAACTTCGAACGACTTCTCGAGCGAACAACGAGAAGACGATCATCAGATTCTATCGGGTGGGTCTAAAATCTATACGCTTCCGCTGCCTTCTCGATCCGGACCACATGAGCTACCCTACAGATGTGTGGTCTTCACTCCCTCTGAGCCTTCAGACAATTATTGCATCTTCCACGATTTCTCTCTGGCCGAGTTTTCTGTGGGATCGAAGACCAAGAGCTTTTCGGACGAAGTGGAATACTACAGCTGGAGAGAGAAGTCTGAAATCGAAGGATTCCTAAAACACTGAAGGTGAGAAAAAGTCCACGGTCGGACTTGATTGGCGTTTTTATTGACACAGATTTACAATGTTCAAACTTCGAGAATTCCCTTTCGTAGAATCGAATTGCCCCCGTTCTGAAGGTCATAAACAATGGATTTGGGAGTCAACGAGATCTCGTTCACGCAAGCCTGTCGCATGATCGAGAATCGGGAGGAGTCTATCGGGGTCGGGGGCCTACTTTCTAGAAGTCGGAAATGGGAAAACGCGGGCCCACGGCGGGCTGGGGGAACTGTCGCCCGGAGCTAGGGCGCAGCAACGGCGTTAGGGCTTCTGGAGCTCAATATACTCCTGACTCCATCGGTCAAATTTTCCTCAAAGCAAGATAGGTTTTGGGGAGAGAAGGACTGCTGCTTGATTATAATGCCAGGGAGGCACGGTTTCCTGTCGAGGGGAGTCCGCTTTCGGGTCCTGCCTCGACAGAGTAAGATAGCGACGACTGGAGTTTCTCCCTCCGCATGAGAGCGAAGCTCCACGGTTCCACAGCGTGGAGGAGCTCGGAAACGTTTTCGCGTCATATACGGAGAATTCGATAAGTGAAATCGGAACTCTTTGCCATGACTCTTCTCCTACCTCAGCTCGGTTTTCAATCAGGGTCAGGTGTCCCCGTGCACTAAACCCCTCGAGCAGGAGACCGAAGTCGTGACTGACGGGACCTCCGAGCTCGGTAGCGGAGCGGAGCAGTCGAGCAGCTTCGCTCTTACTCGACATCCGGAATCGTTCAGATCGAACTCCCCAGGAGATTCCAGGAGGGAGCTCTTCGAGTGATCATTAATGAGTTTATGACCGGAGAGATTACTCCAAACATCAGATCGAAGCGGACTGGAATCGAAAGCCGGATCGCTCTCGGCGTCCCGATGAGGCTTTCGTGTGCGTCAAGGCTCGACACAGCTGTCGAAAAAAGAATAGAAGAACTACGCTCGCAAGTCGGGAAGACTCTAGACCCTGTTATCGGCACTCGTCCCCCCTGCACAAAATCTTTGAGACAAATGTGTTTCCCTTTCTTGAGAGTCCTGCCGAAGCTCGAAAACGTCGAACAATAACAAACGACGCTCAACGGACGTCAAGCGTACGAGCGATTGACTTCGTGCGCCGGTCGTTTCTCTCCATTCTTTCCTATGTCTTGACTGCTGCGTTCAGATGACAAAGCGCTCACCGATCAGCTAGTCAAGCTTGCAGAATGTGACTCCGCTTCATTCGATGACCATCGATAGAGAATTCCAAGCACACGACCAGGAAATCGATGTGCAGTGTTGGTTCAGTGAACCAGACAAAGAGGATGAAAGAGGCAGCAGCAGCAGCAGACAAAGACAAAATGCTGGAGCTGACAAGCCGCTCTGGAATTCTGTCCGAAATTGATCGAGAGTCATTCCCTGCGACGTTAAACAAAAGCCTCCTTCGCTCCGGTTCGATTCCCGATTTACGCGCTCCTTTCCAGCAGCTGCAGCGCGTCTTCCGCGTGATGCGTCACCGGAAATTTCGACAGGGCAGGTTTGCGGCGACGGGTAACATGTTCTGCAAGAGCAGTCTCCGTCGCTTCTCGAAACTAGCGGATCCGAGGACTCAATGAACAGACGAAAATCCCGGACCCGATCAGACATTTATTTGAATCCTTCTTGAAAGAAATCATGTCGTTACCATTCAAGAAGTTCCGGCTTCTTCCGATCCGCTCGATGAGCTCAGCCTCTAACCTTCCTCTCAAACAGCGATCTGACGGGCAGCGAAAACTGCAAACATGGTCGACGGATTTATCTAGGGGTATGGTGAGGTTGCTCGCGATTCGATGATGTATGATCTCGCTCAAGTTCCTGCGACACATGAGTGCATGTTCCTTCCACATGCTACACTCAGACCGTGGGTCGTGTCGATGAGTTGATTAGCAATTTCTCTCACAATTAGTATCGTTCACGGAAGTATCGTCCCTTGTATACATTCCATTTATACAAACACCGGGTGAATCTATGTTTTAAAAAGTGACAAAGCTTTGGATGAACACATCGTGACAACAAGAACAAAATTCACAAAAGAACAGCGACAAACAGAAAAAAATCCTATCTCCCTTTCCGCGAAACTCCCAGGCGTCGATCGTGAGATTTCAGCTCACTTCAAGTATTTTTTTATCCGAGTTGTGCATCACCACGTCTAAGGTACTGATGTGAACACAGGTATATATCAAGAATGCATTAAACAACGATTAGACTCTCGATGCAACTAACTCAAAAAAATAAATACACTCATATACTCAGGGAACGAAATAAAAGACTTCTGCCGGACACGGCCAGAAAAGCAAGAGAACGAAATACCTACCGAAGATCGTGACACCATTTCACTCGATGCATAACGTCCCGGCAATCGCTCTCTGAATGTCAGGCGTTTTTGCTTCTCATTTATATCGGGCTGGCAAGTGTATGGTACAATGACTATGGTGTAACGGTAGCGATCGGCTGAGAACGCTATCCGCGCCGCACCGCAAAGGCAAACAAACTCCAATATGCACATTTCATCCTCCCTCTGGCTGACTTCCTTCGCTTCATCTTCCTCCCTTTTCATTAGCTCTTTCCGCTAATATTCCGACCCAGGAAAGGACGACGCCCCGTTGCAGACATTCATGTGGTTCGATCCATCAATCGGGGACCTTCGACTAGAAGTGTTGCTCACATCGACGAAGAGCTAGACCAATGGTTCGAGCAGCTGTGCTCTGCGCATTCTGAACATCTCTCGAATGGATGACTCGATCGGATTAGATAAACGCTAGCTTGGGAATGTCGCCGCTGTTTTTTTTCACAGAGTGTACAGATTCAATAAAGGGTCCCGTCTACATTTTCCCCCCTCGCGTTCCAACATCAGTCATCGAAACTGCATCGAAGTTCCTCTGATGACGCCTCTGACTCGCCGGAATTCCGATCGCTGTTCACCGAATATTGAGCACGCTTAGTTCGAATGCTCTCGAACTTGGGTTTCCGGACGACGCCGAAGTCGGAGCGGAATTCAGCTTGAGACCGACTCAGGAGTCACAAGAGATTGAACAGCAGTCCCTTCATTCAACGATCAAGGGTTGATCATCAGTAGTCGACGAAGCCGCGTCCGTGCCAACCGCGATCACAGTGGAATTCGAGGGCGGCAGTACCGAAAATTCGATCTCTCCCGTAGGCGAGGGATTCTCAAATCCGTTTTCCGTTTTGTTGAGGTGTTCCCGGACGTCCCTGCAATAGGCATCAAGAGAAACTCGTGAGAACGGACATCGCATAACCAGTTTGGAAAAGTTCCCCAATCACCGAATCTGCGCGGAAACTCCGGGAAAGTCCGGAACAGTTGGCTGTGTACCTTTGCGAACACTCTTCATGAGTCGGAGCTTGTATCTCGTTCTGGGATGGGCCTGGCTTAGGCGATACCGGCTGCGGAGGGGGCGACGACGGCGAGGCGTCTGGGTGTACCGCGGACGGTGGAGCCGGCTCAGCTTGCGAACCACCCTGCTCGATCGTAGCTTCTACGGTAACTAGATTGTTTGAGCTTCTTCTCGAAGTGTACATTCGCGTATGATGAGTTCGCGAGCGTCGTCGCCGCCCGGACGTCCCGGGAGGCGGCGGAATAACGGGCGGGTCTCCCGCAACGGCGACACTGTACGGCGGTGGAGGATCCCTGAAGCCGTAATAGCAGTAGAGATCTTGCAGGGCATCGAAGCGAAGAAGGTCCGAATCAGAAATCGAGCTGCGCCTTCTCCGATCCTCCGGTACTCCACTGCTGCAGTTTTGTTGTCGTTGATACGATACCAAGCGTAGGGCGTATAGTCGGCAAGTGCATGAGATCGCTATCACGACCAGGATGCCGCACACGAGGGAACCCATGATAGCGGCAGTGATGACCGAATTCTTGATGCAGTACATCTCGTCCTCGGCACCGGAGCAGTCGGGCATGTGGTCGCACCGCCTCTCGTCGGATATACAACGGCCGTCCCCACAGAGGAAGCTCCCCCAATTCGGTCCACACCTTGCCGCCAAGCAGTTCATCTCATCGAAGCCGTCATGGCAGTCGTCGATGCCATTGCATCGTTGACTATCGTTGAAACCGCATAAGCCCCCGTAGTTTGAGCTTGAGGCGTGTTTCCCGCATCTTATCAGTTCCGGACACGGGTCGCAACCCCTCTCATCGTCTCCGAGAGGACAATCGAGTACACTGCGGAGAAGAATAACTAGATTAATATTTGGGGACGCTCCTGGACCCTCCGAGAGGATCGGCTTCTGGGTCGGGTCGCGCCGAAAATCTTGGCACTACTCGTCGCTCGCATCGATGGAAGGAAATCTTCTCTCAGGAATCCATCATCAGAATTTCGATTGCTTACCCGTCGCACGACTGAGCCGCCTGATCGTAGCAGTATTGAGTGCTGCCACATCGGGTGGCGTTGCCAATGAAGTTTTTGCAGAGAACATAATTACTGCCAGGTGGACACTGGTCTTCATCGAAACCATTCGAACAATCTCTCACGCCGTTACAGCGCTGTGCAGTCGCGAAACAATCTTTCGAGTGCATACCGCAGAATATATGGTCCTGGTCGCACCAAATCCACCGACCTAGAATAGAATCCCATCGTATAGGTAAACATAGTTATGAATAGGATTACTGGTGGGAGATATCTTCCATCCTCTGGGATAGGACAGGCCTCGGGAGCAGAGTCCGGGAGTATTGTCGCCATAAGTCGCGAGAATCTCATCATGGAAGATCCAATCAAATAAAATAATTTATAGCTCCGAAAACTCCAGTCGGTCTGACGTACTTCGTTTGGTCGCGGGATGGTTGTACATGGTCTGAGTACAATCTCGTTCATCGGATCCGTCTTCGCATTCTCGGTTCTGGTTGCAACGCCAAGCGGTGGGGATGCACTTCTTATCAGACTGACATTGGAACTCATGGGGCCCGCAGTCACTTCCAGCTTTCGAAACATAGTAGCGCAATTTGAACCTGTTGAGAACGACAGCAGTGCTCAGAGATCGAGTATGTTTGTGCTTGATTTGAGAACTGATCCCATCCGAGTTTTTCGATGGCTTGCTGATTCAGAACATAGAAAAAGCATAAATGGAAATAACGGGAGATCGCCCTAAATGCGGTATATATGGGAGGGATTCTCCGGTCGCTGATGAACTCACATTCTTGTGATATTCCGTCCCTTGGGAGCGAGATTCGCGATGCTCACAAATTGAAGACTGACACCACTCCCGGCGGATAGGAACGGCTGCGGGAGGCGTTTCTTACCGCTCCCGCAGTAAATATTTTGTTGGATCTGGTCGTAAGCTAGGTCTTTGAAAGCTACGTATTTCCTGCGCGGCGGACCTATTTCGGAAACTTTCAACATCGCTCCCAGACAGCAGTCGGAAACTCGTTCCGCAAAGCCTCCGCACGACACAAGGCTGTCGTTCGCATGGGGAACTGTTGTGTCTGCGAAGCAAACTCGTCAGTCTTTTCTCGGATTGCAAATGTTCGTTGGAAGGTTTTCGTATCTTCATAAGGGCGAGCTCCGTCGTCAATGGAAGGAGCACTCACCGATGACGAAGTCTTCGAAGTGGATGGTCACCATCTGTGAATCATTGCCTCTGATATCGATGGTACAGTTGACATTTTCGTGCTGAATCAGACTCATATCGGGACTCAGAATCTATAAGCAACGACTCGTTTCAGTCTTATGGTATGGCTGAGAAATTGTCAATCGGTTGACGACATATCGATATGGTCTCCGAGGCTTTCACTTACGAATCCGTCCGTGTGGAACTCCGTATAATTCCCGCATATTGAGTAGTTGTGGATTGGATGAGGCAAGCCCCGCCGAGCACCACTGACACTCAACGCCAGGGAGACTGTGGACGATGAAGAAACAGAGTTACCTCGAGCTCGTTTTTCCAAAATGAACGTCGAAGCGCAACTACGTAAAATAATAGACTAGACTCAGACCCGAGTGAGGAGGCGAAACTGGTGGGATTCGCATTCTACGATCACAGAACACTTCGCGACACATGCCTCCAAGATGGTCCGACGCCCGGTTTCGTATTTTCCGGATTTCCTCGCCGGAGGGGGAGGGGCCCTCCCGGACCCTCTTTATTCTATCGAGCTCGATCCCTCAGGAGCCGTTGGATGATCGAGCCCAAGGGCTTCGCTCATTTGAAGAGCATGCTTACGATTGAAGCGGTCGCTCCACTCCGGCGAATCGACGTTGTCTTCTGCAGGGAGGTGCGGCTCCGAGGCTGGAGACATATGGGACGCTGTTTCCTCTGCGCATTTGGTCGATGATCGGAAGATCAAGAGGAGCCTCCATCTCCCCGAATAGTTACGATATTTCCCACAGAGATACGGCTCATCCGATGGCTGAGCCATCAATTATTCCAGGAAGGAACTTCCTTCCGGGGCGCTCTACATGAACTTGCAATTAACTTCCCGACTTCGAATCTGCTTCGCATAACCATTTCGACGAATCGGATAACGTCGTGGATAGAGCAGCGGATGACGTCACAATTTTCAAAAGCACTTGATGGAGCGAGTCATCTTTTATTCGAACTCGAGAAAGGAACGCCTTGAAAAAATCCCTCCAATGTTGATGTAATATACGCAATAAGCTCATCCTAGGTGAGTTCTGACGTGGATGACTTCTCGGTATGCAAGGACGAAAGACCCTCATTTTCTATCGGAAAAAATTTCGGATGCGATTTCGAAGAGTGAAATCTGCCCCTCGCCTCAGGCAAAGAGACTCTCTTAGGCGAAGTTTCTACAACACGAGAGTAGATTCGATCCAGACGACAAAGTCAGGATAGAGGTTCTCGAGTGCGATGGTCTCACATCGATATCCGGGCCAGAAAGCTCCAAATGTAAACAGCTTTCGTCATCTCATCGTAATATTCGAAACGAAGAGGGACGAGCGATGCGAGAACGAGTTATGGGATTTAATATTCGCTATTGGCGCCGTTGCCAAGGACGTGTGAACGCCGGCGCCGCACGCACGACTTCGGTATAGCGAGCGAGTGCCGGGGAAACTTCACCGCATCAGAAATGGTCGATGCCTCTCTGAGAATACATTTCGCACGGGTCCACGCTGGGAGAATTCTCTAGGCGAGCGTTCGATTGCATTTCTGATAATTGAAAACTATATCTTTCGATACGGGCAGGTGGGAGGAATCTTACGGAAGCCATGCACCAAAAAAATATGCCGCTCCATCCGACAATACGGTCGGTGTGAGTGAACAAAGTCGTCTAAGGGCGAGTTACATCTCGTGGTTTATAAAATTTCCGTCGATTGCCACCACTTGTCGTCGACTGTGTCGAAGACACCCCGAGGGCATTCAAGGTCGAATCAGACCCACTACACACGTCCTACGAATGATACCGCCATTCGGGATTCGGCATTACGCAACGAGGAATCCTTATCGTTCTTTTCCCATTTTCTTCCGAGTAACTGATCGGAAAGCACTGCGCTGGTTTCCGATCGGATACGAGCTGAGGAAATGGAGCAGTCCCAACGGTGTAAATAGCTCCCTTCCACTTCACTGGGGCCAAATTCATCAAATTGTGAACTAAATCTCTGGAGCGGTCGAACACATTAGGAGAGAACTTCTCCACAAGAACTTCCCGAAAATCTCATGGTTGCGGTCGCGATTTCTCGATTTATTCCATGAAATGAGCAATTTGATCATAATAAAAATGGCTCGTTCCAAAGCATTTCGTTGTTCATATTGTCTCGAATGAATGCGATCAGACTCCATAATTGAATAGGAACAATGAAACGGAGAATAATAGGGATGGCATTGGATCGTAGGAGTGCGCGAAACATAGATGATGCGGAACTCGGGTTTCAGTTCACACCAGCGATGATGCCAAGCTGACACGGGGCTTATTTCCCTGCATAGAGGGACCGCTTCCCGTGACCCGTGATGGAAATGCCGAACTACGATGGGAGCAGCAGCGTTATTGCTGCTGTTCTGTAATTGTTGCCATCTGCTCACTGAGGAGCGTTGGCCGACCAACGAACCAGTACGGTCGCCGGGCGATAGTGTCCGCCTGCGAATAATCAGACCGGAGGGTCTCTTCCAGGAACGAGGGCATGACACTCGTATCAATTTCCCGCCGGCGAGTGAAAAGAACAAACAAGGACCTCCCTTCCCCATCGAAAGTCTGTCGCGCATAGGGTCCTCTCATTAGCATGCACTGAGCCTCCGCGAAAAGGAGAAAGACACTTATTCGGCGTTTCTTTAAAATTTCGCACGCGGTGCGTTCGAGTTATGGGAGAGCGGGACGGATGCCTGGCGGCACTTCTCCTACATCACAGTGGAGCCGCTGGTGGATCCCGCACAGGATTCGGGCAAACGTTGTTGCAGCTTGGTCGTGAGAACATTGAATCCGACGTTGGCGATGAGGAGGCTCTGTCTATAACAACTTCATAATATACTTACCGAGGGCAGCAGCAAGGGCAACCGTCATCGCGACAGGAGTTCCGTATTCGGTCACAAACGCGGATGCATTTCAGGGGACGCTCTGCAATTGAGTCAAACGGAATCGAATCAGTCAGTTTGTTATGAGGTGTATTGAGTGTTCTAGCGTGGATTGAAGGCGCATTGACCGCTTGGCAGTTCTTAGTTTTCATTTTTGGGAGTGTCGTCAGATGTGTTTTCCATTGAAACATCAACGACGGAACGGAAGTAAGTCGCTTCTCAGCTCTGGGCCGGGGAAGTCGTGCTTGTGGTCCTGATGGAGAATGAAATAGCTTCCATTCCTCCTGAGGTCCCCGTCCCTCAAAGAGAGAGGAAAGTCGGATAGGAGGCTTGTCAGAGGATTCGATTTCACAATTTATGCCGTCCGATCGCATGAAAGGAAACAAGACCGTCGGCAGGGTGGGCCCATGATCCAGAATCCTCTTTCGACCTCGCATTCCGCCGACGTGGGGCGTTCCAACTTCTCGAAAAGTCAGCCGGAGCGCCCGAACGCTGGGGAAGTCGGAACCGTCCCTGGGTAGTTAGCCGCCATAAGAAAACAATCGGGGCTAGAATCGCAGGAGGCAGCGAGCCTTCATTACAGTTTCCTGTTCCGTACCATTCTCTGATGCTCGGATCCGAGAGCGAATCATCGCCGGATCGTCTTGCGATCCGCGTCGCAGCTCAGTGTAACAATATTGACTGTATTCTAGCATTTCCAAACAGAGCCTATTTTCGAGCTCGACGTCCTGCTTGATCAGTGACAGCTCTCATCAGGTCGTACGCATCGTCCTGCCAACTTTCACGGATGTGACTCGTCGACGCACATCGCGGCTTCAGCCGAACGTAGACAGAGAGCTTATCAGTTTGAGATTTCCGCACCAATGCGCGACGCCCTCGAGGAGCTCACAGGGGTGTTGACACCATCGGCAGCGATAGTGCGGTCTGCCTCCGCTCGAGCCAGAAATGTCGTCATGACCTAGAAAATCCGTTCATCCCTCGTTTCTGTTTGTTCTGTGCTAACGGGGACTCATCGCAGCCTTGAGCAAGGCCACAGAAGATGCAGCCAGCTGGAGCCAAGGTCTCTTTCTCGGGCTGAAGCGATTGGGGTGAACTTTCGCAAGATATTCTCTGACGCTCGCTAGCCTAGCCGAAGCTTAATCACGGATTATTTTCATCTCGGTATAACGCATCGGAATCGCGGTATGGCAAACGACAGCATTAAGAGCTGAAGTCCAATCAATTGTCTCAGATACGACTCGAGATCAATCAGCACATATTCAAGATGCACGAAGATAGATCGAAAGTTTCTCGCAGCAGAATAGGACATTATCCCCCGAGTGCCCCGGTACTCAGACACCGTAGCGAAATTGTTCGATGGTAGACCCAGGACAGATTCTTCTCGACGAAGCAACGGTCTGCAGACTCGAAGTTCAGGACAACCTTCCGAAGCATGCCCGACTTGGAATCCAATCAGAGCAGCTCGATCGTAGGATATTTCCATCAGCCGATTATCGCTCTTTCATCATTCCAAAGCAATCAGCGTGGAGCAGACCACCGACAGCAAATCTGCTTTAGTGCGCCCCCCAGCCCGCGCGCGCACGAGGGTTTAAGACGATACGAAACGCTGGGTGAATCACTTTTCCTTCGGACGAAGGCCCGGACAATCGTCGACGAGTATTCTACGGGCTGAGCTACAGAAAAATCTTCCAGTGGTAAGATCAAGATTCTCTAGCGATCGCGTGACCTCCCATGTCATCCGAAATAGAAGTCATTTACATAACAGGTCATCGCAGCCAAATATTACCGCTATATAACTCGATGGCGGAATCGGAATTGTCCGACTGACTTTGATCGAAATGCTATAATAAGTTGTGAAACGATCGAAACAAAACCCCTTCATATGAGAGAGTCGACGCTAATTCCCGTAGGTTCGTCAGGTTGGTCTAGAATGTTTTCAGGCTCTCCATGCGTTCAATTATGCGAGCACGGTGGAGATACACAGATGAATGCTCCAATTGAAGAACTGACGTGGCCGATCTTATATTTTTGTTTTATCCGTGTATTTTTTTTTATTAAAATTGTCGTCGAGACCCGATTCTGTGCAGCGCCCACTGGGCATCGCTATTTTGGTGGGAACATCAAACTTTCCAAGCGACTGATCGTCAAGCTTCCGAAGCGAGACCTGTACCGCAGTTGTCTCCATCGATGGGAACCAGGTGGAATTGAATGACCGGAGGGACACATCGCAATCTAAGTCGATTGGCGGGACCCCGTCCGCGCGGCTTCTTGGAATTTTTCGCTGATCATCTTTTTCGGGGAGCTCTGCTCGCAGAACTCTAAAGACTTCAGCAACAAGCTCGAGAGACTCGTTCCTCTAGGGTCTGAGCGGCTCTCAAGCTCTCGGCGTCTCGCCCAGTTCACGCTTTTTTCTTTTGAGTCAAGCACTAGAGGCTCGCTCTGTCTCCGAATCGCGAGCTCGAGTGCACCGAACTGTAGGTCAAGTAGCTCTCTTCTAGAATTATTGCCAATTATTCGAAGCGATGCACTGGATTAAGAGCCGACATAGAGGGGATTGACGATGTCAAATGAATTCCACTTTACTGGAGTCTCACGTTCACCAGGTTGGAACTTTGGAAGTAACATTCGATTCACGTTCGAGCGAAGACGAGGTAAACACCGACTGTTTGTGTGTGCTTGCTACACGGATACACAGCACCAAGCATCAGCTCGTTCTGAGCGTCAGATCGCATAGGGTCAGATCCGGAGTTCTGAACTTCCGTCACAGGAGTCACGACGGGGAATGGCTCGAAACGCTCTTTCCGACTCGGTGAGCTGCCGAAACCCTTGAGCACGAGTCGGGAACGTCAGGGAGCCTCGAGTTCTGCAAGAAAGTCCGTCCAACGCGCATTCTTTGTTCAGTATACGGCCTGGAGTAGGAGAAATTGGACACGCACCTCCGGAGGCGAAAGCAATCCCTCAGCGAGGCCGTCTTTCTTTCCCGGATTTTTTCTCTCACTTCTGCTGGTCGTCTGGTGACAACGTAATACAGAAAGGAACACAACGTCGTCGACAGAAAACGCCCGTGGAAAACGGGTCCGTCGGGGGTGGACGACGCCGGGTTACGGATGGCCGCGCGGGCCGACATACTTTCTTCAGAAGACGAGTGGGAGAATCGGGCTGTCCGGAGATGAGGCTACCGGGCACAGCATCGATCAGCGATTCGTTACTCAGAGTGAAGTCCTGGGTTTTTCGGTGGGCGAAAACATCTTCGTGCGATTCCTCTAGATGAGCGACTCAGCTCAGCTACAAGTGCCCTTAGCGTGTAACTCTCATGATCTGGATTCTATTCCGCCGAGGCTTCATCGTGAATCATGAGCAATGAATACTCCAAGAATTGAATTCCATGGACCGAAGTGAGCTTCTAACGAGGACTTTCCGCCCAGGATCAGCTGATCATTGCGTGAAGTCCTATGGTGTCATGCCAGATGATGAGATTGATGTCGATTTTCAGCAGTTCTTCTAGCTGCATCTTTGATTACTGTCATAGGATGAAGGGTGATCATTGGCAGCGCATCTCCGTTTCATCCGTCCTACCGCACCGCAATCGTCGCGCTCTCCGCCCAAGTCCTCACACTCATCACCTTGGAGCCACCTCTCCCTCTCGGACACCAGAGCTCCGTAGGTTTCCGCTTCGATGGAAACGGAGCTTCGAGAGATTCCTCGAAAATTTACCTCTGACCACCCAGGTTCGACTATTTTCGAGGGCGAACTGGAGCAAGCGGAGAAGGCGGGAAACGTTCCAGATGCCGAGCTCCGATCATGATTATTTCGTCGATGGCAAAGGACCTTGAGTCCAAGCGCTACAGACCAGCGCGCATAACGCACGAGTTTCGTACGAACGGCATCGGCAGAATCGATTCTGTCGATCGTAGACCGGAGAATGATGCCCGTCTGTGGCGCGGACTAGAATTCGAGTACTTCCAGCATTCTCCGCGCAGGATAAGGCTCGAAATACAAGCTCTAGAAGGGGGACAGACTTTCCAGGGAACTCCGCACCTGATCCCGAGGAGGTCCGAAACACGAGACATTCAGAGCAGCCCGCTGCTCAGTCGTAGCAGCGGCAACACTCACTTCCACCGACAAGGAAGACGATATGTGAAATTGCCGCATCGACTTCCGCCTATGCTCTTTTAGAAGTGAGCCACTGAATGCCTCAGCTGACTTGAAGAGCTTTTGTTCCTGCGTGGTGCGTCCAAGGCGCATTTGATTCCCACTGCGTTCTCATCAACTTCATTCATCACGGGACCTGTGTTCAGACGGTGTTGTATCGAGCGGGGTTGACTTTCGTAATTCCATATTCCAGAGCATCATATATTCGCCGCAACACGAACGGATTTGGTATGAGTTCATGCTCTAGAATTCACCTGAACTTACTAATCGGGGCTCGAAGAGGGTTCCTGAACCCTCCTTGCATTCGCAGTTCGCCAAGAAAAAGAGGCAGGGAGCAATCGGAGCGCGTAAAGCGCTCGAAACGAAGAGCTGTGGCCACCTACCAGCTGACTCCGATGGTCGTGGGAGCAGTAGGTTCCGTCCTCACTTGCTTCTTAGACGTTTGCGTCGAGTTTGTCGTCGATGATGGTGCCGACGACAACGACGTTGATTCACGATCACGGTGGCACAAAAACTCGAACACCACTTTAGCAAAAAGAATTACTAAGACTTCGATCGAGTCTTGGCTTCAACTTAGGAGTCATTTCGAACCCGAGCTCTCCCGTAGGGACTCTCCACTCTTTATCCTTTATTTCACTGTTCTCCTTACAGCTTGTCGATTGAGCGACAAAGATGCCCGACGAGTGTGGAACTGACACACGGACTGAGGCTAGCTGGCTGTGAAATTTCTTAGGGGTATCATCAGCTGCCCTCAGTCAGCACTGCTACGACGACGACGAATCCACCACTGCTGCTCTGCCTTTCTTCTTCTAGCAAGCACGACGACGGCTGCTGGCAGCACACACTCACAGACCCACACACAGACACCCAGCAGCAGCGGCGGGAACAGGCAGGCACTTTTCGCCTACGGCAGCAGCTCTTTGGACACCAGAGCTTATCTGATTCCTGCGGTCGCACGCTGCACTCTTCGTACGCGTATACTAACATACATGATAAATACACCGTATGATCGCCTCTGGGTCGAGTCTTTTGGGGAACCACACAAGAAGTACAAGAAGAGGGAAAATTGAGCAAAATCGGGATTTGTTGATGGGAGAGGGATGTCGATGATATCAATGATCTTTGCGAGAAGCCAGATCGCGATCGGGCGATCCTTTCCACCTTCTACAGACTCCGATTTCCCGGCACCATAGAAATACATAGACATTCGGCGGGCCACCTCTGAGCGCCGGAGGAGCTCGTGGGCCCCACAAGTTTCCCTTCGCATCCGAGAATGGATATGCTCGCGAGAGCAAATATTACGGGGAGTGAGAACCGTGCGTGCGATCGTACAAACGGCGTGCAACGTGACAGCACACAAGTCGGATTTCAGGACTGGGGCCTCCGTCGCAGCCCAGGCGGGCGATGGATCCCGCCTCCTCGAGCAAATGCGGCATATCGTGCTATGAAAAGGTATGCTGCGTAGATCTGGGAGATTCGATTTGTGGAGGGATGAGCACTCCCTCAGGGTAACTCGAGCGAGTTCTATTGCGATCATCAAAAATGCCGCTCGAGCACGGTCCTTGCCCTGATTTACCGGCGCCCGATCTTCCCCACCAAGATGTGATCCTTGGATAGCCTTCACCCAAGCTGAGGCGGAAAGCTCCACCAGAGCTCTCTCTGGGAGCCCTTCCTCCAGCGACACTCCGACGTCGTCCCCGATGAGGGAAATACCTCTCTTCTTGCTCAATAATTTATTCGTTCACGATATTGTACAAAACAAAGAACAATGAACTAAAAGATCGTTCACAGGATGGACGCTCGTCATTACAAAGTCCCCGTGGTCCAACTCGGGGCTACTAGGGAGGTTCCGGTTATGCGTCCTCCTGCTCTCGATTGATCCTCGAATCTGAGTTCGCCAGATCGGATTTCGGTTCTCGATCGTGTCGGTCAGACCACGTCCCGATTCTGATTCTACCGTGAGACGCATTAGGTCCCCTCAGACCTAGCTAACAAGAAAAGGCGATAAATTGGACGTCGCGGAAATGAAATTGATCAGCTCGCGTCCACGGCAGCTGCAGTCAGCTCGGTTTCCGTCCCGAGTTCTTGGTCCGAGATTTGCACCCATTCTCGGTCGGCTGCGGAAGGAAAATCACGTCAGTATGGAGACTACTCCCTCAGAGGGATCGTAAACTGGGACATATATCCGGATTATTGAAAATGTTTCCGCTTCCCAGCCGCTCTTCCGCCGACAATTAGTAGATACCGAATAATACCTTCTCGGTCTCAGGTTGAGTCTTGCCCTGCTCGAGTTTCATGAGTTGAAGAGCTTGCAGATGAGCTCGTTTTTTCTCACTTGGCGTCGGGTACATTTTGTTTTTCCCGCGTCGATTTCTAGCGCGACTAGCCGTGATTCGTCCACCGTCAGATTCGGAATCTGACGAGTCGGTCTCGACCCTCCTGGCACAGCCTTTCGAATGAGTCTGTTGCTGGGGCGGTGGCTGCGTCGAACATGCTTTCGCTGAGTGGAGATTCGATGCCGACGTCTGCGTGCCCTGAGTACTCGACTCGTCTCGAGCCTGGTGGTCTGAGATCTGGATGAAGAATTTGTTCCTCTCGCCCTCTATGTCTATGATGCCTCCTCGCTCCTTCTGCCGCAAATACAAATTCGTCATTTGTCGCTGAAGCGTCTCGAGCTGGGGATTCATCCTGAACTCCGGGTCGTCGAGCTGACGAGAGGGAGGCGGTAGAGATTCGCTATCCTCCGCCACGAGGTCCTCTGGAATTTCTACGCGGCACATCGGACACATGAGCTTTCAGAAGAGAGAAAAAGATCGGAGATTAGATCTGGATTTCGTCAGGGAGGTGTTAGGATTCGAAGATGCCAGGTCAACTCACAATGAGAGGTTCTTTTAGAGGACTGTTGTTTTTCTTTGCTTCCTCTTTCTTCTCGTGCATTTCCTCTAATTGGTATTTTATGTAACGACTGAGACAATGTCCGTGAAAATAGTGAAAACAGCCAGTCTTCACGAACACGTCTGTTTCGGTGAAATCATACAAACATATGGAGCATTGGCAATCGGGGCTGTTCCCTGCTGTGAGATGGTCGACTGCGGCCTGCAAGGAAATCCTCAATTCTTTCAGGGAACGTTCTCAATGGCAACGCGGCGTCACGGCGGCCGCCAAGTTCCCTCAGGAGGGACTTCGATAGACAGCGGTTACAGATGAATGAACTTTGAGGAATTCCGCCCACCTGGATTAGCTCATAGAGTACCATCATCCCCTCTCTGTCCTTGGCTCGCTGGATGAGATCCTTCTTTATGTCCTGGATTCTGTTTTCGCTCAATCCGCGGGGATTTTTAATGGCGATGACAGGAATGACGTCTGGATACTGAAAGGAGGGGAAACAGAGATTGAGATAAGCTCAGCGCAGAATAGTTTCGTGCAGTCTCACGGTAGAGCATAGTCATGCCCATGGAAATTTATTCTAATCTGTCCACGAGAATACTCACTCCAACTGGGATGTAGAACCAGAGTTCCATGCACACCCACTGGGCATCGGTATCTTCGCCCGTGGCTGGCTTGAGGTTGACTTTGATCGTCTTCACATATTTCCTGTAGCGAGACGAACAGGGGACTCGATTATCCCCCATGATCGAGAATACCACTGATGGTGGGCAGAAGCGATCGCAATCGGCTACTCGATTTCGGAGCGATCGATACAGAGATCAATATCGGCTCAATAATCCACCCAACTCACTCATTTCTTTCGAAGATCTCCAATTCATGGATGAAAATCGTCTCTAGAGTCTCGAGCTCCATCGAGATTTGCCTGGAAATCGAACACTGTCTTCGTACGGACCGACATTTCGCAATCGTATCGCCTGCGACAGGAGCGATTCTCCCGAAACACGGGAACGGCCGGCGAGAATAATTTCCGTAAGTTTTGCGGCTCATCTCCACCGGGAGAAACGCGAACGGAGTTCGTAGATTCGCTTCTCACTCCAGAGACGTCAAGATGCGCTTAAGTTACAGCTGTGGCGACCGTATTCACATCCAGGCTCTTCGTGATTCGTGAGCAATCCATCCCGCTAGAAATTCTTGGAATCTATCGCCTGCGTACTCACTCTTCCGTCTCATCCATTCGTTATGATATGCTCCTGTTCCGCTCTCGAGAAACGACTCTGTCTCAGGCTCTGCTCCGTAGTAGTACAAACGCGACAGGAGTGAGAACCGTCAGAGTCCCCACTATTATTATTATTTACCGTCTAGCCGATGATGAAATGATCTCCCTCTGCCAGCGGGCTCATGTAGGGGAGAAAAAAAGTGTATTTATGAGGACGCTCCATGGACAGGACCAAGGTTCAGCTCGCGGAGAGCGTCTCTTTAGATGGCTTCATTCCCCATCAGGATGACGGGTATCAGTTCTTCAGACACTCAGGTAAGGATTGGGCGATGATCAGGCGAAAAGCCGGGCCTTGATCCGGCTTGACCCGATGGAGGAGCCCAAGAAGATCGAGTCGGAAATGCCCTAGTGCCATCGGGATTCCTTGGGGAGAGTCTCATGGGCCACGCACAGGGCCGTAAGAAAACATCCAGTTCGGGTTCCCGCATTCCTGTTCGATCCCCGGGAATGTCATTCATCCGGATCATCTGCGTCTCGTATTGAGTCTTACCTCGGTGACTTCCGTCTCCGCCATTCTCTTGCTGTCCCCCCCAGAACCTCAATCGATTCTCCCTGATTGAGAGCTCCTTTCCAGTTTTTCAGCTGCCGTTCGAAAATCCGGCAAGGACAAGGACTTCGATCCCTCGACCATTCCGAGCGCGAAATCGGGTCGCTTTCGAGCCGGGTCCGCCTGGTCCTCGATCGAAACGCGTTTAACTCTACGCAATGATCAAGAGCTGGTCACAGATCATATCTAAGATAACCTTGTCAGCTTTTCCAGATCTCCTAGGAGAAGGGCTTCTGAAGGCTGGAAAGCTACGCGGGCTCGCGAATGGGAGAGGAGGAAATAGCGAGAATGGCCAAGCGAATCCATCCGCGTATTAAGGACTGATTTGTGCGGACAGCTTCGATTACGGTTTCCTGGACCGGTCCTTAAGAAAATGTCCGTATACTAGGTTGACGAGGATGGGAATAACAGAAGGAGTCCATGGGAAGTAACCGAAGAGAAAATAGCTCAGATGGATCGGAGGCCACACAGTTACTTCCACTGAATGACGGAACGGTCTCGAATGAAGTTGGCCGCCACTCGCTCTACACAACATAGCGCCTCAACAGGCAAGGGACACGGTGTGTGTCTCACTCAAATTGATGGTAGCACTCGACAAGTCTTCTCAGAGTGCAGTCGTTTAGTGATCCTCGATGTCGTTGTGATGTGTTCTTCTTGTTGAGCTCCCCGAAAATCCCGTGAAAGAGCTCTGAAGGCAAGATTGAATTCTGGAAGATTTTCCGAAATGAGCATGTTATGTCTTGGGTTGCTGGAGCCGATAGCATTTGCCCCGTAACCGGGGAAACTACGGTGATTTTGGAGGAAGTCAATGCATGAGCTGAGGCCAGCCTGACAGTAAGGGCAGCAATAACTTCCCATCGGGCTCATCACAAGTTGTTAAATGAATTGTCGCATCTCCTCAATTTTCCTCGCTCTCAAACAACAGATGGATCGTGACAAAAAAGCCTCGCTCTTGAAGAGCAGGACCATGGGACCGACTGGCTCGAAGAACAAACCTTTGTTTAATTCTGCCGATCTCATCATGCTGGGACCGAAACAGGACAAGCAAGGGGCCAAGGTGAGATGAATAAGTCATCAAGAATATCAATTCTCCCAAAACTCGAACATGAAAATCAGAGGGTGCTGACTCGCCTGAGCTTTGAAGAACGACGAGACCGTCCTTACGGGAGGTGCAGTGAAACTGTGAAGGGGTAATTCGATGATTATCCATGATTCCTCTGCGTTTTCTCAGAATCTTCCGGTTCCATCGCATGACCGAAAACCAAGCGGATCTCCGGGCCCCGCGAAGAAACCGAAGCTGGCACCAGGACCGCCTTCAACAGCAGGACCCCCGCGCTTTCCATCGGTACGTCCAAGCACATTCGTTCGTCTCGCACAGTGGGGGAAACCTGCGAAATCGGCACCCCGCGATTGATCCCGGGAGAGGGGGCCGCGTCGGTTATTCAATCGTTCAAGATCAATGGATGAAGAAATTCTCCATCATTTGAAATCCATGTTCGAGGGAATCAACGTCGATATTGAATCACATTCCAGGTGGTGAAACGAGATATAATGGGCGTCCGCCGAGACACGTGGGAGTCGAAAATAATCCATGTAGAACCGGAAACGCTCATGACACTTTTCACCATGGCGGAGAAAGAGAACGACGAAGAGCGCATGCAAGGCATCCTCTGTGGCGCTGTGAAACTTTTGAGAATGCAGAAGCCCAAACCGGACGCCGTGCTGTATCTGAGTTTGATGTTCCTCGCGAAAACAAGACCTGCCATATTCCAGGTGAGCGGCTAATCCGGTGGACCGGCTACCCATCAATTGTAATTTCTCCGCGAATCGTTCGTCGATCGAATCGAGCGCCCTCTTCGCCCTCCGCGGGAAGCGATCACCATCAGCTAATTTCCGTCTGACCCGATCCGATTTCAGAGCGAGGTCGTACTGGAGGCCTTCTGCCACCTGCTGAAGAAAGAGACGCCACCCCTGCCAACCATCAAGGGGAAGAGCGCGAACGCTGTTTCCATTCTCGCAGCGAATCTGCTCCTGGCGGTGTTTCAGGATGTCGAGAACTGGCCGGAGATTTTCGTTCGGGTGTATGTGGACGACTCTCTGGGCGATCGACTCTGGGTCGACCACGAGGAGTGTCGGTGTTTCGTTGAGAACATCTTGACAGCCTTCAGAACTCGGATGCCTCCAAAGAGCATGATGGCTCCGGAATTGACTTTCAAGAGTGAGGCGTGCGCGAGCCCGCCTGCATCGTCGACAGCGAGTTTGGATGACGACGACTCTCTCAGCAGTCTCCATCTCGATTTGAAGGAAACGTCCACCTCGATGAGCGTAATTCCGAGGTATGGGAAAATCCTCTCCTGGAGATGCCCGAATTTCCTATCCCGATTCTCGAAAAGGAATTCTGAGAATCATTCATTAATTATTATCATCGAGTAAATTCCGAGGTCTCTGACCGTCGGAGCGGAGTACGATAATTTTCGTCGAGTCATGATTCTCAGCTCAAGAAACTCTTGCAGATACTCGACCCAGGAGAAGAACATAGAGAAATACATTATCGAAGTTATCCAGGAGCACCTACAGCGTCGCCAGCCCACGGACATCTCGCGGAATGTCCTCAAACTCATGGTGTGCACATGCGGAGTGAGCGCCGTGCGGGCTCTCGTCGCGCATCGTCTGGAAACCTGGCTGACGAATCCGAAACTGACGCGGCCCGCTCAAGACCTCCTGTTGACTACGTGCATGAACTGCAATGAGCACAACAAGTCCGACCAGGACGTCATCGAGTACTTGGTCCGGATCCGAGTGAAAACCAAGCCGGTCATCAACCATTTCCTCCAGTGCATCAAAGAGCTGCTCAGTCTTCACGCTGAAAACCTGCCCACGATGCTGAGGAAGACTATTTACAACGAGCTGTCGCAATCTCGCAACCCGAACAACATGAGCCTGATATCTGTGATCCTCCAACATTCACCGGACCGCGCCGCTCGAGTGCTCGCAGAGATATTCCAGGACTTGCTGGCGAACCGTGAGGACTATCTGCGAGCTTTGCGTGCCCTCTTCAGGGAGATCATCCGGTCGTTACGGCACGAACTCGATTTCCACTCGTTCTGTCTGGGACTGATGACCGAGCGGAAGGACCTCCAAATCGCCAATTTCGAACTCCCGCTCAAAGAACGCCTGATGAGTCAAGTCGCCGACTTGATCACTCTGGCCACCTTCATGGCGATTACGCCCGCCGTGAAGGACTGCGCCACGGCGCTCTATCGCGGAGAGAAACGTGACCTGACACCTCTATTCCATTTTCATCGCCAAATTTCAGCGATCCAATGTGACGTTGTGACATGGCTACATGAGAGCGTGATTAAAATCTATCGACCCAGCCATGACGAATACATGAACCTACTGCGGAAATCACTTTTTCTCTGCGATCAGTTCGATCAATACAGTCGATCTGCGGACAACTGGCCCCCCGAGCAAGAGAGAGCCCTGTACATGCGGATCGCTAGCGAAGTACCTGTGATGGAAGATACGCTCCTCCGCATGCTGTTCGTAGGTCAGTAGTGCAACCTTTTCGCCTGGAGTGCCTTTTCATAGCTCGAAAGAAGAACTTTTTTTCGGAATCTTCATGAAACTTTGAGACCCGCCATGAATGTAGTCTCGATCGTGATATTGAGATTCTCGCTCTCGCAGGTATGTCCAAGGATCACCCACCCACCGCTGCCGAAACTATTGATCTCTTCGACCAGCTGATCCGGAGAGCCGGCGTCGTTTATCGGGACGACGGACCGGCGGTTCTCCACGTGGAGCGACTTGAAATCTTCGATATAATCTTCTCGCTCTGTGCCTACCGACGGCCTGAGATGTACACTCTGCCCGAGGGTTACACGCCTCCCACCGTGGCGGTCGCCGACATGTACTGGAGAGCGATGATTATCATGATCATCGTCATAGCGCACAATCCGTCGACCTGCGGCCGGAAAGCCTGGACCGAATATCCGATTTTGCGAACGATGATGTACATGTGCATCACGAATTCGTTCGTGTTTCCTACCGCGGTCACCGCAGAGCAAGGCGAGGAAATGAAAGCGACCGAAGCCCAGATCGCCTTGCAAGAGAAACATTCGATCCTCGAGTACGAGATGCACCTCGCTGCGAACACGACGAACAAGGTGAGCCTGTTCCGCGGTGTACAGCGAGTGATATTTGATCATACTTATAATTATCATCCTGATTATTCGGCCTATAATAATAGATATATCCGGTCCGGTCGGAAGCCGGGGGAATTCCGTGGGGTGGAAAAAGGAAAAATTGATCTCCGGATGTCCAGCTCACATTTTCCGATTATCTCCGTTTCCAGCAAGTCGTGGCGATCACTGAGCAAAACTCGCTGCTACTGCCGAGACTCATAAGCATGAATCCGACCGGTCCGGTGCGGAGACCCCCTCAAGGCGTCTTGGATCAGCTGAGAGCGCTCAACGAAAAACTCCATCTCGGTCATCTGCTCTGCCGAAGCCGAAACCCGGATTATCTACTCGAGATAATCCGCGATCAGCAGCAGGGCTCGTCTCAATCCATGCCGTGGCTCGCCGACCTTGTCGAAAGCTCCGAGGGCTCTCTCGACATCCTTCCGGTGCAGTGTCTTTGCGAGTTCCTTCTGGGCGACGCTCTGGAAATGGGCAACGAAGCCAATCGTCAACGGATGCCGCCGAACAAGCGTCGAAAACTCCAGCAGCTCATGGCGCACCTCCAACGGATCCTCCGCGACGCAGACTCCGATCAGAACGCGGCTCGGGAGGTGATCGAATATTTCATGAAACGCCTGACGTCACATCACATGGGACCGCGCGGTTTGGCGGTTCGGGCTCTTCAGCTTCTCCTCTGTCCTCCTACACCGACTGGCGACGACGGAGACTACGATTGGCTTCTGGAGCAGATTCCCCAGCTACCTCATTTCATCTATTTGCTCGATCAAGTGATCTGTACGCTCAGAGAAGCTGTCCATATCGAAACGGACCCCTTCGCCATTGTTGCCTACGTGAAGTTCCTTTCCCTGTTCACCCCTGACGAGCAGAAAGCCGACGTCTGTCTGGATCTCGCCCACCTCATGGTGGAGCGAGCCACGATCATGAATACCATCCTACCCCAGGACAACACCTCGTTCGTCTACGGTGAACTTTTCCTCAGTTCACTCTTCGATATATTCCTCGGGTATCTCGACATTGCCCGGCGGACCCAGTTCATCGAATGGATCGACGAATACATCCAGGTTCGTGAGCACAAGCAGAATATTTGCTCTTGAAGTCATAAGTCAAACCGTTTTTCGTGGGTTGGATAATATGTTGGAAGAGGAAATATAGAACAGGATGATCCCATTCGCTGTCTAACATCGTCTCCGCGAATTCCTCAGATCGAATGGTCCTCGGGAGAGCAAGCCCACATGCACTGCTTGGTCGTTCATTCCATGATCATCACCCTGACCTACGGCGTGCCGCGACAGAATCCTCAACGCTTCGATCGTCTGCTGAATGCGTGGTTCCCTTCGAACGGTGACACTGTACACGCATATTTGAGCCCATCTAGGGAAGAGGCTCTTCTGCTTCCGGACTGGTTGAAACTCCGCATGATCAGATCTCCGATAGAACAGCTTGTGGACGCCGCTCTGAAAGATCTCCAATCAGATCAGCTCGTCCTATTCATCCAGTCGTTCGGCATTCCCGTGGCCTCCATGAGTAAGCTATTGCAGCGCTTGGACGGCGCGGTAGAAGTCGATCCCCAGTCTGTGACGAACGCCATCGTCGATAGAGCCTACATGTATCAGCTCGTTGAAGTTCAACACATTCGGGGCGCCATCGGCGGGGATCGGTACAAACAGCTTCTGGCCGTAGATCTCGAAACGCCCATGGAGTCGGAGTCGGTTGCACATCCGAGTGTTATACAGATAGCTCCACGGCGCAACTGGACAACTAGTCAACCCGAAGCGGAATTCCATTCGGTCGGCAGAGCTGTCGTCCAGATCTTCCGTCTAGAGCCCGATCGAGCGACCATCAATTCGAAGGAGGAACAAGATCTCTATCGGAAGCTACAGAAACTTTTTGCCGAGGACATCGGGAGATCGAATCTATCGGGAAGTTCCGTAGAAGAGTTCATAATGACCTGCAAGAGCATCCTCCGGGTCCCCCAGGAAGCTGAGCTTTTCGTGACGCAGCTCCAGTCGAAAGCGGCGAGCTCGTGCTCACTATTCAAGCTGACGATCACCGCGTGTCAGAAAGAACCGCAGACGTCGCCCCTGATCCGAGAGCTCACCGCGGTCTGCTCTCGGATCGTTGATATGATTAACGTCTCGAATACGTCGACCGCCTTGCTTCAGATGCTGACGCAGTTCCTGAACAGGAGGACCTCGCCCGGACAGAGAGATCTCGACGTCCAAATCGGAAAGAATCAAGATCTGGCCGATTCGCTGTCTCATGTTGCCGTCGAGCAGCCGGATCGACTCGAAGAAGCGCTGTGCGCACTCGTCCAGAGAGCTATCCGCAGCAGGGATAGCGCGGAACTGTGCAAGGCCGTTACCCGAATCCTCTCGGACGAAAGCCTCGCCGAGCGCTCGAGAATCAACACGACGTTCATTCTCGTCGATTGGTTCGAACGCTCAGAGCCCGAATGCGTATGGACCGACAAGGCGGCGCAGCTGAGGCTACTCTTCGAAAAGACCAACGGCCGAGTCTCGCAGACGTCCCGTTTCCGCTTATACCTCCTATCGGTCTTGATCCACCGAGCTCATTGGACGACTCTATTGCACTGCATCAGTCAGCTGCTGGTCCGACCTCTCGACCCGCGTTTCGACGCGAGTGCCGTTCTCGATTTTCTGAGCGCATGCATGTTCATACCGAAAATCTGGCAGGGTCGCGACAAGAAACTACCAAAACACCACGTCATTGAGAATGTTTTAGCGCTATCTACCGATGAGATCTGTTCGGTAGCCGACTACATAATCGAGGAGATGATCGATGCGAAAGAAGAGGAGCACTCCAAGAACGTGGTCACGTCGAGAATGCACATCGTCGAACACTCGTGCGTGAAACAGGCTCACATCACCTTTCTAGCGGATCACCTGGTGACGATTGTGAGCGATAACGGACCCCGGAGCAACGCCGCCAAGACCCTGCTCGTGAAACTGTACCTCTGCATGCCGTCGATCATCTTTTCAGCCGACTCGGTGAATTACCTCTTGTCCGACATCAGCCCTCAGAAGAACGGTCACACGCGGGTGGACAGTCTGTCGCATTCGATTCTGATCGCACTGTCGGTGTGCGATACGGACAAGAATTTCAAGAGCGATCTGAGATACCTGAACTTGAGTTGTCGAAAGCTGGCGGCGACTCATCCAGATCTATTCTTGCGACAATTGCCCCTAATCGCAAGTCTGTTGCACTCGCGCATGTCTCTGGGCATTCCGATGTTCGGCCAAAAGAACAACCGGAAGTCGTTCTTCACCTGCATGCTGGGCATCATGGAGCTGCTGAGCAACAAGCTCTACCACCAGGAATACACCTCGGTGGTGAATTCGATTTTCGGAGTCTATCTCGAGTCGTTGCTGCTCCACGTGAACGCCGGTATGACCCGCGCGGTCGAGGACAATATCGGCGGTAATCTCAATCATCTTCTTGGTCTCGTCCAGTCGTACGTGAAGCACAATCCGGACGCCGCGCGTGAATTTCTCGCCGCGCACCAGGAGAATCTCGAGGAGCTTTCGGCGACCTACAAGCACATGAATTCGTTGCGAATTCTCCTCAAAGGCGGGGTGTTCCTCCAGGACGATAAAGCGACCGCATCGCTCGTCGAAATGCCTGAAGAAATTCAGAAGTTCCCCTTCAACCTTTCGGATCGAGACGCGACGATGAAAGCCCTCCAAAAACTCGAAATCACCGCCTCGAGAAAACCCAGCATCCTAGAACTCTATCAAAACGAGCTCCAGAGCTTGCTTTCGACCGGCGACAGCCAATTATGTAAACATTCCTTCAAACTGGTGTTGATGTGCATTGAACAGTGTCCCGGATCGGCAGGACGCTTCGTGTCTTGTTATTTGCAATGTCTGGCTAGTGAGCGGCGCGATGTGGTTTCGATGGCTCTGGAGAAACTCCCGGAGTTCGTGGTTCTCTGCGAGGAGTATGCGCCGTTGTTGCTCCAGAAAGCGTTCCAGTTGGGCGTCTCATCGAACGTCAATAGTGTCGAGCCCATTTCGGATGCTTTGGAGGTCCTCCACATGCAGTACGGCAATTGAGAGCAGGTTGACGTTAAATAATTCCCTATTTTGTTACCGAAAATGTAAATATAAATACTTTGTTCTAGAGGACGACTTTCTGAATAAATAAGAGGGAATCTTGGAGATTTCGCACGTCCTATTTTGCGTGTTTGGAGAGGCATTATCTTTGCTGCTCGCCTGGGAACAGGGCGCTGCGACCGCGTCCCCAGGCCGGTCAACGAGGGATCCAGGAGTTGAGAAGTGCCGGCTCCCAGAGGAGGCGCTCAACCTGAGTCACCGTGTTCCTGCTCATAAATGGGCAATTCCCGTGGGGCTCGTATAATCGAAGGGCACCTCCTGGAGGGCGGCCACTCTCTACTTGAAGAGTTCCTCGAGAATAAATACTGGAGAATAAACGAGCCTGCCCGTTTATTCGAAGGAATATGGTATATCTCATGAGGTTCTCCATTCGATGTTTGGAAGTTCACGGAGCTCATGTTCACGACTCGAGAGCCTGCATCCCAGAACGGGACTCTGAGCTCTTCGATTCCTCGGGATTCAATCTTCCCGCTAGGTTAACGATGGAGAAGGGGTTGCATTTCTTTCCAAAGCATTTTCTTCTTTTATTCATGTATATATATAAATATATAATATATAATCATAATGATAAAGTATGCTTTATGTACACGGAAGCGACACCGGAATGAAGTCCTGAGCTTCCGAATAATTTTCCTCTAGCCGACGAGTAAGGATTTCAGCCGATTTCCGTACGGAATGGATCGGGGGCAGTGGGAACAGAGCCTACTGGAAGTTCCTCAGATTTTGGCACAGATATCGATCGAATTCGCCGGCAACTGAGATTGAGACCATGGAGAATAATGCTGTAAACTCGGCTTTTTTGGATGAACATTGTAACGGAAAAGAGAAACATTGAAAGTCGACCTCCAGGAACTACAAACTAACAAAATATTGCCACTGGTCGCCATACTCTTTCGGGAGGGGAACCGGATCACCGCTCTCCTGTCAGAACGCCGGAGCCGAATATCTCTCTGTAGAGTTCGGTGACCTCTTCGGTTTCGCTGACTCGTTGCACGCACACACGCGTGCATGCATCTGATCCAGAAACAAGTTCGGGCCCCGATGTTGCTCGAACGAGGACGAAGAACAGGACGCCATTCTTCGCCCGAGATGCTGCTGTGGGAATATTACATGTGCGCCGGATTTACATAAGTAAATATAGTAATCAACCCGAGATGCCGGGACATCAGAGAAAGCTATCGTCTAGCTTGGGCTTTATCGTACGCCCGCTCCTGCTGACTTTGATGGCCACTTCTTTGACTTGTTGCCATTTGGGGATTTTTTGAGCATTCCGATTCGGCGTTTCAGTTCGGAAGCTCTTGAATTGTGCAGAACTCCGGCGACGGCTGCCCTGTCGCTCACACGGACTCTTGCCCGACGCAGAGCTCGACGGAGACCGCTCCAGACGAGATTGGGAAGAGTCGGATGATACGTCGCTCGATGTTTCCACAGAGTTCCGCTTCGGCAGCGGAGATGAGAAGTCGGCTTCCAGTCCCAACAGCTCTCTGGCTTCTCTCTCATAGTCAACTTCCCTCCGCAACTCCCTCCGCTCAGCCCAGAACTGCTCCGTGTCCGACTCGAGGGGCTCGCACTTCTGATGCTTCATGAACACCTTGCTGAAGGGGCTCACGCACTCGTCTCCGGAGGATTCTGGGCTCGAGTTCATGCTTGAAGGATGCTTTGGTGTTCGCTGCTCCGGCTTTAGCGTGTCCGTTGGCTCGGTACTCTGAAATGTTTGAAACTACTTTTAAAAGTCTGAAAGTATCTCTCTGATCAGATTGCCGTCAAACTTTCCATGCAATCGGTTAATCTTCCAAGACTGCTTGACTTCTCCGGGAGGAACGGATCGTGAATCGTAGATTTGTCATATCAATCTCGACTTCTACTCCGGAAGCCCGGAACGGAGCATCCGCTCAATATCGGCCATGAGAAATCCGAAACGTGCGAGAATTCGACACTTGGCGAGAGAGACACCCCGGAAGACCCGATCTATTCCCGAGGATGCCGCCCGATTCCCGATTTTCCAGGCTCCTGAGTAAATGGGTAGCTCATGAAGTCGACGCTCAAGATATCGATCTGCCCCCTCCGGCCGACGCACACCGACAGGGTATCAAAATCGGAAGAGCGATGATTGACAGCAGATTTCCGAGCTATCTGCATTCACCTTTTCGACAAATTCGATCGATCCGTGACAAGAAGAATCCTAGCGATCGTCGCAGAGTCTAATTGAAGCAATTTCGCAAGGCACTCACTGCTCCGTTCGATCCATCGATAGGAGAGAAAAAATCTAACGAACCTGGGGGGAAGCGACATCGTTGTTGCTGTTCACTGTCTCTTCGTCGGCCTTTTCCGCGGCATCTTGACCGGCTTTTTCGGAGTTCGAATCATCCTCGCGATTCGCTTGCTGTGGATCGACGTTGTCGGTCGCGCGATTTGAGGTTTCCCCTTCGGCGACTCGGAGGCGTCTCTCGAGTAATACATAACATCTCGGCAGAGGTTGAGCGTCACTTTCTGAGCAGCCGATGGGAACGTCGGGCATCGATTCACTGCAAGCCTCGGCGGATTTCTGAGGCTCGCCAATGATGTGCTGGATCGCACGCAGAGGCGTTTTCCGTCGTTTCCGTAGGCTACGACAGGGACTGGCGTTCAGCACAACGTTATTTTCCTCATGATGATCATCATCGTCGCATTGGGTTTGAGGGTTTATCGCATCGATATCCTCGATTCGTCGCTTCGCCATCCGATTGAGGCGGCGTGGGCTTCTCCTACAACTCAGGTCTGATACCGAGCTGGACCGCCTGTGAAATCAGGTAAGTTCTGTTGAGTTCGGGGTTAAAACAAATTAAGGTCAGAGAGAAAAAATGCGCGAGGTCCCAAGACGTCGTCCTCGGATCCAGCGGCACTGGCCCAGAAGGGCGGAGCTTCGATCAATCGAGAGAGACCCCCCTTCATCGAGAGGGTCGGAGGGGAGAGATTGGCTCTCCGGTGAGAGACACGCTCGTAATGAATGAGGCTGTGATTACCGTTTCAAGCCTCTGCTGGCGAAATGTACGATTCTCTTCGTTAGCCGATGAACCAAGTGAGGTTTTTTCATGAGGGACATGAGCTCGTGATGAATACCCTTCCACCATCCGCTGCAATGAGAAAAAATAATGCATTGCAATTGACTGTGTTATATTGAGCGCGATCACAAAACCCTATGTTGGACATAGAAAAGCATAACGTCGATCTCTTTCGAACCCGAGGTTGCCGTTGAGTTGAACATGCATCGATCCAAATTGTCTGACACTCTCGGGCGTGCCTCGTCCTTCTAGAACTCATTAATCCTGACGGGATTCTCTTCTTGACTGAGTGATCCCACTGTATTCCCAACCCTCCTCTCGAAAAGCGAAAACGAATGGTCGCGAACAAAAATACCGTGCGCTCCGGAAAATTCGGGGAGTTCGCTCTATGCTATCTTCACCGAGAACAAGTTTCTTTGATCAAGCTATTTGCCAAGGAGCCTTTGTTGGAGCGTGCTCCCCGATTCCTCGTGTTTCTGGAGCGGTGGGAATAGGTCCGGCTCCCTCCGGAGGAACGTCGAGCCCAAGCAGATCCCTGCGTCATGTCACCACTCATCATAGCTCTCGTGGATTCCGTTCAACAAGTCGAGGCCATACGGGGAAGAGGTATCGATTGTGTAGCGGAGACCGGGGATTTCAGTGGACCCATAAGGCAGCTCAGAAAAGAGAAATTCTAGCGACATGAAGAGCTGGATCCCCGCATCCAGGCGATGAGGTCGCTTTCACGAGCGATTACTCTGATTCTACGCAAACAGCACGATTCTCCTCTGCTGTTACAGCTGGCAATATGAGCGAATCGATGGGCGCAGCTGAACAATGAGCCTGCGCTTGACACCATTCCCAATCCCGTGCACGTGGACGAGGGTCGATATTCAGCGATCGAAGCTTTCTGGATCAAGACGACCCATAGGAGAGGTCTCGGAAGCGGCCTAAGCGATGAAAATTCTCGAGACTCTGTTCCGGGGCATTGGACCCGATCGATCCTCCCGCATCGGTCGGCCTTCGAGAAAGCCTCTAGCGAGAAATGAATTTCTGATAGCACAAGCTCTAAGGGTGACCGATTCACTGCGGTACCGGATTCTGGGGAGTGATAGCGCAATCCGATGCTCCAAAACTTGATTCCCGGCGCAACGCTCTTGTCTCTGGTCGATCGTTCAATCACCAAAACCAGGAAGGGGGGAGGGGATCAGGGAACGCAAACACTCCCGAAAGCGCCAGATAGGTATCGTACAAGGTCCGCCATGGCTTCTAGTATCACGCAGGTCGATTAATGAAGGAGACAAGGTACTTGCAATTTCGCTCCCGTTCGCGATGGTCACCACGTGAATGGAAGCAAACAAAGACTTGGGGATGAGTCTGCCACCGTGCAACTTCTCTGCTTCCCTTGAGTGATACGAGAGGATAGAACAGCGAGCTGTAAGCGCTGCCGTGATTCAAGTGGTTGTGACATCAGACTCGTCGATGGGGGAGGAATTCTCGAGCCCAGCCCGACGGGAAGACGCCGGCACTGTCGATAGAAACATCGAGAAAGAAATCTCAAAACAAAAATGGCCGCGTTCTGATATTCGATGCGGGATGCGGAAATCGAGAGGAAAGTCTCGAAGCGAATGTTTCTGGCGCCTGGGATCGCCGCTCATGCCAAGGTGTATCGAGCAAATGTCCTCGCGTGGGCATCGGGGCAGCTTCCGGAATGCCGCAGAGGATCCTAGATTGATGTTTCCGGGTGATACTCAGGGAATCGTCATCCTGGAGCTGATAGTTCCAAATTATCAGATACATTGACCACAAGCTTGAGGAGACGCTGACTGTGGGTATTCCGATGGAAGGTCAAATAGTGAGCACCTGTTGCATATCTAGCGGGTTTCGGACTCGAGCTCTGCCATATGTCGGCTTCGGCGATGCCGAAGGTTGTCGTCCGACCTGGGGTGATCAAGACACAGACAACTTGCAGATTGAGATTTACTCCTCTCTGATATCGCGACGCCGATTGAGCTTTTTCCAAAAGTGCAGCAGGAACCAAGACACGGGGCGATTCAGCGTAGTCTAGAATTAGAATAGGCGCTCGAGATCAGCCTGCGATTTCGTACCGACAGACCTCCCGAGAAAAAAGTGAGTACGGTGCGTCTGATGTAGGCGCTGTCTGATGCTAGCCAGAAATTCATCTTTGCACGAATATGAATCTTCCTACTCCCCTTCATAGGAGATATCAGGCTAGACCTTGCGAGCTCCAGCAGGATCCTCGAATGTGAGTCAGTCGATACTAATCTTCGCCGGCTTGATAGAATAGGTCAACAGTGAACGATCAGCCCAGCTGAGTCGAAAGCAATCGAATCCATTTCCAATCGAATCCATCATCCTTCTCCTCAGGCGTTTTGGGACCGCCTCTGATAGGGACAGCTCTAAATGGTCTCGACGGCCAAAAGCACAAGCTCCGACGCGCCTCCGGGCTGAAATCATTTACGAGCGAATTCCGGAGAAGACCAAGCTTGCCATGGGGGAGACGAAATATCCGGAATGGGAAAAAAGCAGAAAGCTCAAGCCCGTCAAGATAAGCGATCTCGATGGGCTAACCGAGAAAGCTCGTTCGATCAGGCATCCCGTGGCTCTCCTTGACTTCTGCGAAGTCAATACGCTTTGCGTAGGGAGGAACACTCGTTTTCCGAGGAACGCTATCGGGTCTGTATTATAGGATTATTGCCTCGGCGTAGAAAACATGCAGAATGAGCTGTGGTGGGATCGATTCTTTCGACGTCTTTCCCGGGACGATGTCCGCCATCCGTTATGCTTAGCGACAGACTTTACAGATGCGAATGCGGGAAGTCCCGTGGCTTCCAAGCGGGGTAAAGCGGTCTTTCGTAAAACGCGTTACCCCGCCTGGAAGCCAAGAGGATCCCCACCGAGGTCTGTTTGGCGCTCTCACATTTTCTGGACGCCGTCGTCTCGAGCGGAATCGGTATAGACTCTCGACGTTCGCATTCCTTAAAGAAGACGGGACTCTCACCGGAGTTGTGAGCCCGTGCGCAAAGGCGGCTGAGGGATTTCTCACAACTCACAACGAGTCCAATGTGTGCCAGCAGGTCTAAGGGACACGTTCGAACAGAAATGAATAGGAGAGCCTTCCTCTGACCTCAAGCATAACAACTGAAAACGACGCCGTCCACGAATTCCCACCGTAAATGTGGTGGCTATTCATGCGAACTCACCGTTTCTCCGAGCTTCCAGACGACAAACTGGAATGCAACGAATGCCCAGCGTCGAACATAACGTTCGATTTCCGAAACTGCATCTCTAAGCCATATCACCCTCACTCGAACTCACTCAAACTCCTCTGAGACGCCGGACCACTGAAGTTCGGACTACGAGGAAGTGAGTGGGAGAGACGATTCGGACGAACAACAACAGAGCAGCAGCAACACAACATCGCCGCAGCGGCGGCGGCGGAGCTCGCTGCCACGGAGCTTAGAACAAGCCTCGGGGGAGCGAACTCATTAACCCGAAAAGCAAAGGATTGAATCGGATGAGCTTGAAATTACCTTATAATAGCGAGAGAGATGACGCCGGCTCCTTGGAACAGTTGTTCAGAGTCACACTAATTGTGAGCTAGTCTATGCTCTGCCTAGGCAGGAAACACAGCTTCTTATATGTTGGCGCTGAAAATTTGAATCGGTCCGGAGAGAGGAGCCGTCGAGGGGCGGAATACAAGCTTTCACGAGTTTCGAATTCCGCGGAATGCAGGTCTAGGGGTTCGGGGTCCAGAATTGATCGAAGAGAAGGATAATGAGTGAGGGGAACGTTCTAAGCTTCTCTAATGCAGAGCGCGGTGAGGTGGGTGCTGAATGTCGGAGACCGGGGCGATTATGCAGCGAACCGGATCCGTGTTCAAGAATACTTCGCGCCGATTCGAAGTCATCATACTGGAATGTCTCAGAGTCTAATGACCTGACTAACTTACTCAGAGCAAACCTTCGACTCGTGATAGTCTGAAATCATGATTCGAGGACCAAACGAGCCTGCGGGGGCTCCATACGGTGAGCGGTCCACCAGGGTCCTCAAGTCGATCGCCTTGAGCTTCGAAGTTGCATAACTCGCGCTCTGCTCACGATGGCCCTGGATATCCCGGATTGCAAGACTCACCGATGAGTTGAGATGCTTTCCCCGGAGATTGGCTGATCCTTGGGAGAATGTATCGTTTCTTCAGAAAAGAATGCCGCAAGCGCTCGGAGCGACTTGCACAATCCACATTGAGCCTCCAGGACTCTCAGATCCTCAATGGAAACATGATCAGAATATAAATGGAGCTTTTTCTCCTTCGAAATCGTCCTCCTCCGCCGGAATCCCTGAAGCCCAAAGCTCTACTTCTGAATGATGGGACAACAGGGAAGAGAGGTTGGCACTCTCCCCGGCAAAAAGCGTACTTCCGTGAATAACCGCGCCTATTTTCAGGAAGAACACTGGGGGATGATTTTCATTGAAACGATGAGCCCTTACGCCGATGAATGGATGATAATGATGAGGATTCGTCTTTGGCGCCAGATTTTTGAACTGGCGCGGATTAGCCGCGAAACAAAAACACAGCGAGCAGCGGCAACATGTGACGAGAATGGGATGAGTGCTCCAGTGAATGCGTGAAAGGGGAGAGGAGGGAGACTTTCACGGTGGTCATGCAACACGACAACAACGAGTGAATTTCGTTTCAGCCGCTGTTTTGAACGGGCGAGAGTTTGGAAGTTCGGAGACGCCACAAGGGAGCGTATGCGACAGCGGCAACATCAACAAAGTGAGTGATCTGACAACCCTCTCACAGTGTACTCGTGTCTCGAATCGCCCACACCGATGGTGTTCCAGAACCGTCGTCACCTCTTTTGTCGTTTGTTTTGACTGAGTCAGTCGTATCGAATGTCTGGTGAGAGGCTCGATCTGATTGCTCTCGTCGAGATCCTAGTGCTGAAGGTGGACGAAACATAGTTGATATTCGAGTCCTGGGGGATCCGGCGGAATTGTGCGCGGATCCTCCGTCATCGCCATGTCGACTCCCTTCTGGAATCCCTTACGGGGTTTCACGACTTATGTCGGGTCCTGGTTCCGTGATTCCGAGCCTGCATCTCTGCCCGCTGACGATGAGCTCATGGAAACTTCCGAGCAGCCAGAACTTTGCGCCAATGACTCCCACGAGCGGAGTGAGTCCATGTCTGAGAGAATCACCGCACCCGGAGACCAGCTCACCAGAGCCGTCGACCATGATTACTACGCTGTGGCTTTGGCTAGAGATTCTTCGCTAGGAAACGATGACGCACCTCCGTTTCTCTTCGATTCAATGACGGGAGTTCTGCAATTCTGTAAGAAATACAAAACTTCGCACCCTCGATGGAAACGTTTCCAAACCCGAGCCGAAGCGGAGAGTTTTTCGCTGGCATCTTTTGACTACGAGCCGGAGGAGCAGCTCGTGAACACGGAAGCCCTGCCCTTCAAAGCGCCGACTCCCCAGCAGTATGTGACTTTACGGAAACACATCCAAGACGGTGACATCGATGAAGTACGCAAGCTCATCGAGAGCAACCCGAGGTACATCATCGGGGGCGGGGACAACCCCACGATCCTCCAGGAAGGGTGTCGGTATAACGCTTTCCACGTTTCGGCGAAATTCGACAGGGCCGACATCATGAAGCTCATCCTCGACAAACTGCGCTCCCCGCAATTTTTCGAAAGGCTGTATCCGAATGATGGAGATCGGTCGACAAGAGATCGCATCGCCTATATCGTCGACATGTACCTGAACATGCCGGACAAGACTCGGAAAGGCGAGACTCCTCTGCACTTCGCTTCTAAATTCGGTTGCGTCAGCAGCGTCAAATTCCTGCTGGAGCAGGACGAATGCGAGCGATCAGCCACCAATTGTGAGTGCAGACAAGCTGACGATGTAATCTGCGAGCGCGGCGGCAATCAAGCCGAAGCTCGAGATATCGAGCGAATGTTTCAACAGAATATCGTCATTCCGATTCTAAGAAGCGGAGAGGACGTCGGATTACCGCAGATCATGAAACCTCAGACTTTTCGCGAACTCCAAAAAATTCTATCAGAATCACCCGAGAGGAAACTTGCCGGTTTTGTTGGTCCGCTTACCTCTCAACGAGCGGAGAAAATGATGCAGGAGATTGAAGGAGCTTGGTTTACGCAGGAGAACATCGACCTCCGTAAACGTGACGCGGAGAAGGGGCTCGAAACCCTTGTCCGGGACGTCGCACGAGTACACCAAGTTCCTTTCTGCGAAGACTGGCCCTTCCTTGGATGCGCTCTGGATATCGGGAGCGAAAGCGGCCTCCGTGCTCTGAACACATACTTGGAAAACCGAGTATTCATCCATGGTGATCACCCCACCAAACCAGACTACAATGTGTGGTGCGCGCTGAGACCGGTTCTGGATGAGATCGAAAACAGTGACAACTTTCCAAATATTATGAGATGGTTGCGCGCAATGCGTCGGTTCGCGAATTCCGAGATGAGAACCTGGAAAACGCCAAAGAAAGCGCGCATCCTCAAATATGAACCTCTGCCAGAAAATGACACAAAATTGGTCAACCTCATGGAAAAATTCATGTTAGATGAGGCTTGACCGATGCACCCATGACCCATGACATAGAGCGGGAGAATGTGATTTTTATCAGGTATACTTTAAGCTTGTGATATTGCGATACAAGTCGGAGGCGTTCAACCGGAAAGAGGAAAGGCGACCGCAATCATTAACAGATATGCACTGGCTTTTAAGCTTGTAATAGGATATTGTGTTCCGAAGTCAATCAATAAATCTCGTACTTTTACCTTGTTTTCGGTACTTCAGCTTTTTTCTCTCGGCTCCCAATCTGTGAATCTCCCTTGGCCAGTCTCGATTCTGCCGATTGGGAGAGTCACCAAGATGATGATCTGGAATCCATATCGGAGATTTTTCAGTTCATAAGGATCATGCAGTTTGGACAACGAAAAATTCTGGAGGGAGCTTGAGATTTGGTGCTCACACGGCAAGCCTGCCGGTGAACTCGGAGGATCTATCGATAGCAGAATCCATTCCACTCGCAACTAAGGAGGGATCCATTCGAACCCCCATCTCTCGCATGAGAAGAAATCAGACACGACTCATGGTCGAACTTCTTCCAGATGGATGAGAAGGCGCGCAAATGCGGAGTCCGGCCCTGCCATCCGCTGAAATCTTTGAAAGAGCTCCAGTCCTTTCGTGATTTCTGCTGCTCGTTTGAAAGGGTGAAGAATCAATCCACAGACGCTCGTATTGAGCAGCCTTTACCTGACAGACCGAGGGTTCTCCTTTGCCATGACATGGCTGGGGGATATCTCGAAGATAGGTACGACTCCGATGGGGCTGAATAATTTCAGTTGATTCTGTTGACAGTCTAGAATCATCTGGAGTGAGGTGTCTCTGAGCGTTACTCTGATAAAAATAACGTATCCATGCTGTTCCGATCTCGTCCAGGTACTACTGTACAGAGCTCTTCGCCGAGCAACGAAAAGTTTCCGGTGACTACGATCCCAAGAAAGACTACCGATTCGACCACTGGGACCGTATCGATATATTCGTCTACTTCTCGCACAACTTCATCACCGTGCCCCCATGTAAATGGACTCAGGAGGCTCATGCGAACGGCGTCAAGATGCTAGGTAAGTTCCGAACAAGTTGGGAACGACAGTATCGCCTGGAATCTTCCCGAATTTCCCTACCCCTGTTTTGTGGATGCTCCATATCGGATTGTTTCGCTTTATTGCTCTCGTCGGATTCAGGAACGATAATCATCGAATGGAAATTGGAAGTTCTCCAAGAACTGCTTGACCCCTCCGCGAACGACCAAGTGATCGAAAATTTGGTAGATCTCTGTGTTTGCGGGAATTTCGATGGCTGGCTCCTCAACATGGAAGTGAAGGTAGGCTGTTTTTGTCGAGAGACCTTCCTTCAGGCTCTTCCACAAATTTCCCTATTTAGCTCTATCGGAATTTCTTGGCTTGACCCGGACCTTTCTCGATCAGGGCGACCCCGACCTCGTCACGGCCCTACGGGACATGATAACGACTTTGAGGAAGAGACTCCTGGAGCGGAAACCAGGCAGTCTGGTTCTGTGGTATGACTCCTTGGTCACAACAGGGAAAATCGCTTACCAAAATGAGTTGAACCAGCTGAATAAACCTTTTTTCGATGACTGTGATGGCATTTTCCTCAATTACGGATGGTGAGGCCCGAAAAGTCAGCTTCTCGAATACCTCGTGGATCAGGATCTTCATTGGGAGTTTCTCCGCAGGAACGAGCGATCCTTGGGAACGAGCAAGGCCACCGCCGGAGAGCGCGTTCTCGATGTCTATGTTGGAATCGACGTCTTCGGCAGACAGACTGGGTATACCGGCGGATTCAATACACCGCAGGTCAGTTATCGGATGAGGAATACTTATCATATATCCAGGTCTTTGGAAAACTCGATCCCATACGTTCCCGTATAGATTCCCAAAATATTTCTCGATTACTCCAGGTGGCCAAAGAAGTTATAGACAAAGGGCTCTCCGTGGCTATATTTGCTCCCGGTTGGGTCCTGGAATGCAACGATGTTCGGGATTTCTCCCAGAATCAGGAGAAATTCTGGGGCATCATGCCTGTCTTGAGATAATGAATCATCTGACGGCTGCCGTGCCGGACGAACGTAATGATAGACTCCTCTCTCCCTTGATACCACTGCATACTCGGCATAAGGAGCTCGAGCGCCATGCTCGAAGAGGCAAACTTCGGGAACAACCCTCCTGATATGAGAGACTCTAGTGGCTCAAAGTCCGAAATTCACTAGAGTGTTGGAGCAGTCGCAGCCAGATTTCCGAGAGAGGTTCCCAAGTCTGAGAAACCCGACTTTTCGGGTCTCCCGAGTCAATGGTCGAGACCAATGCTATCGTGAGCTCGATCTTTTCTAGCTCCTCGCAGCTCGCGTAAGCATCCAGATCGACGTCGAATCGAATGAACCTAGTCACCGAGCGCAATGCATGGCAACGGATCATGCTTCAGTATTTAGGGCGAGAAAGAAATATCTGCCCACAAAAGCGAGAAGATACTCTTCGGAAGCTTACTCCTCCATCTTCGCTCCTAGTCAACAGTCAATTGGGTACACCGATTGATCAGTGATTCCCTTATAGCAGAGGCAACACGGGCTATCGCCAGCTTCCCTCTCGATCAGGAATTAGATCCCCGCCCGCGACGCTCCCAGTATTCAGGGGCTCAATATTTTCGCGTTCGTTTGGTCAGTCTCCTCACTAACGGCCCGATTTTCAACGGAATGCCCCGGCAATCCAGCTGGAGACCCTCGATTGCCTGAATTTTGCTGAATTTCAGAACATCGACTGTGTTATAAGGTCGGATCATATTGTTGGCCCGGAGGTCGATAGCGTCAATGAGATCTATTGAGGAGGTCCTCGGTTGGGTCTGCTCATCACGTCGCTGACATCAGTGGTGGAACGGCCGCATCGGCTCGTTATGATACACAGACATACACCTGTCACGCGGAAAAGAATGGGGGCAAATGGGCTATGGAGAAGCGGAAGTTTCCTTTATGACTTGATTTATTTCATTGCCATCGGTTATCATCATGACAATTGCCATAATATTATTTATGATACAATAAGCTACTGGAAAAATAAATTAATATCATTGCTGCTTTTTGTCTTCATTGCGATCTTGTTCTCACAAAATCGTCGTGCGGTGGGTTCCGCTGTCTCTCAAATCATAGAAATCGTTCCATCTGCGACTATATTTTCCAGCATTCTCGTTCTATTTAACATCGTCGTCAACCTGATCCATCCTCTTTCCTCTTGCGTTTCGCTGTTCTTGGTGTGGAGTTGCTCAGAATTAAAAATAAATACCTATTTCAACAAACAAACGAACGAACGGCGCCAACATCTCCGAATATGCGCTGGAGCGGAATGTAGGGACGGAATTTCCTTTCGAGAATAGTTTGAAATCGAACAGGGATGATCTTCTGCGGATTCGTTGTCGGAAAAAGGTGCACACACTTCTCTAAAACTATAATAAATATTTAAATCTATATTTATACAGCCACTACTGGCGCACGTAGTGGGAGCCGGTATCGGTAGTCACAACTCGTTTCTCAGCAGTTCACAGCTTTCCCCTCAGACTGACCAAAGTCTCTCTGATTGATAGATGCGACATACATTCAATGAACAACCTTGATGAAATCGGGCTTCGGCCAACCCGACGCAACATGACGGACTCGCATGAAGAGGAATCCGGCAACGAGAGATGAAACAATCAGGAGCACCAGAAGGGCGACAAGAGCAACGGTGAATCCTGCGAGAGGCATGCAGAGACGATCTCCGTTCAGAGGACTGCTGTACACGGTGGCGGTTTGGTTCGCGATCTCGTTCCCGAGGGAGAACGCCACGTCCCCGGGGGCGACCACCTGGATGACTTTGGTCGTTTCGATGTCTTCAGTGATTTCTCTCCGCTGACGAAGAGCGCGCGGTTTGCCGGGTACGGTGCCCACTGTCGTGGTCATTTCAGCTGACGACAAATCGCCGTGTCTCTTATCGATCGACGTCTCATCGTCTTCATCGCTAGGCTGGACGAAGACTGGCTTGTTTTCGGAGTAAGCTCCGTGCTGGTCTCTGGCGACTCCATCATCGAACTGGGCGGGTGTCTGGAGATGGTCGTTGGGGCATTTGGGCTCGGGGCACTCGTAACGGCACACCTGAATCACGCACTGGAAGTGCACGTTCATGGAGTCGGGGAACTTGAACGCTTGGAAGTAGGCATACGATACGACAGATGCTGAGGATCCGAAGTTTTTGATCTTCTGAAAGCGGGACATGATCTTCGGCCTTGCGACACAGCCCTGCTCGTCGACGAGAGCGATCGGCTGGTGCTTTCCGTCGTGGGCAACGCAATTGCGGACCAACATGTCGAATTTGTTTTCGTCGTCCTTGATTGCCAACACCTGCGCAAAATAAGGGAAACGGTCAAGTCGAATTCGAACCATTCTACAAGAACATTGGGATAGGCGAGTTCGGAGCATGCATATCTACTAATTATTCGACAGGGTTTGAGATCAAGGCTCCTCGGGGTAAATTCTCCCGGAGTTCTCACCATGGTCATCGTCTGTCCGATTTTCACAATTCCTGCAACCTCGCTGGCCCACGGTCCTTTGCCGACTTGGATTTGCATCCAGCACTGGATGTTGTCTCCGAGAAAGTTCGCCGTGACAGCGTCCAACATGTCGACGTTGAAGGGTCGGAACGTGACGGCCTTCTCATAGAAGTCGTACCAGGTGCAGCGGAGTCGTCGGGCCTGATCCCAGATCTCCTGAACTTGGGGATCGTATTGGATGATCACGGTATCCTCGATGTAGAGACCTCCGGCTTCGCCATGCTCCCCGGCGCTCTGGCTCGACGTCATACCGCAGCTCCCGAGGAAAATGTCGAAGTTGACAGCGATATGGCCGGTGTTCGGGGGAAGGTGAACGCATTTTGGATCGCTGAAGTGACCCTTGGAGAAGATCATCCCATGGAAGGGACGGTCGAACTCGATGAACACCTTCATGTGGTTCTTCTCGCACTTGACGTTCAGGCTCTTGATCTGCGGCATGTCCGGTCGGCCCAAAGGCCAAGCGGCGTTTTCCTCAGGATCGGCGTTAGCCACAGCATGTTGCTCTTCGGCCGTCCCGTAGTATCCGGAATGGGAGGTTTCTTCCTGTTGGAGATCCTGTGGCTTGTCGATCTCTTTCGCCTGGAATTCACATGGGAACGGGTCACTTTCAGGCCGAGAGCTTGAAATATCGAATTGAGTGAGCTTCAACCGCGACGACGTCTTACCTGAACGGCGCAAGCGACCACCAGGACGAAGCAAGCGGCGAAACAGTGCATCCCCCTGCCTGGGAAAGAACCAGAAATTTAGATTGTGGCTAAAAACTCCTCGGATTATATTAATTCGTGCGGGACGGAAGCGACGGAACCCGCGTATTCCCACGAACATCCGCTCCGGTGGATAATCCGACGCATCCACCCACTGAGGGAATGAACGAAAACGGCGGGCAGCGTAAAATCACTATCAGCCGACATCGTTGAACTGACGTTTTTCCCCATGATTTTTTTCGTTTAGTTTAGCCCGAGCCGGCAGTGCTTCCGGACTTCGCTGAGCGTATAGCGTGGCAGAATTTATCTTTCCCTGGTCGAAGGGAGTGCCTGAGCCAGGGGGGGAAAGAGGACGGAAAATTTATGCTGGACTTTTTCTAGACTGATAGGAAACACAAAAGTAACGATTTTTGCCAGAGGTCTCATTCTACCAGCAGAGCCGTGCCACGGAGCGCTCGGAGCCGTGTCGGCATTTCTTCGATTCAGGTCTTCGATTCTTGATTTTGGCGTCTACGACACCGCGACTTTGCAGACTGTCTCTCCCGCTGAGGGCTAATCTATCCCGGTGCTATAAATTCGCCGTGGGTTGGTGCGATAGCTTCTGTACCCCCTCGGGTCTTTTCCATGGTCCTTATCCTTATCTCCATGGTAGATTGTCGTCTCCGATCTGAGCCGTATATGAAGAGGGGCTCGACTCTTCAAATCTAATCATGGGCTCCGCGGATCGTATGTTTGTGCTCGGAGTAAAACGGGAAAGTCTTCCCCCCGTTGATCCGACCGCGACGAATGAGCCTGAGCTGTATTCATCTGAATGGAGTCCGGTTGAACCAAATGCGGGAAGAGATGCTTGAAGCAGAAGTCGAGCCAGATCACAAATCCTCAGAAATTTCGAGCAATGAAAGCCCCGGGACGAGGTTTTGATATTGGCTTCTTTCTTCTTTGACAATAATTTCTTGCAGAATCAGTTCGGGAAAGTGAATCAGTCCTGGCTCCTTTTCACTCAAAAAGAAAGTCCACGCGATTCTCCGCCTCTTCTTCTTCCGAACGAAATCGAAAAACTAGGAGCGAGTCGTGCGCGATCTGAACAAGTGAATCGCGACTCCGAAATACTTGGCTGGAGTGGTGCCGTTCAAACTGAAAAGTCGGCCGCCTCTGGTTCATTACCCGTTCTTAAAAGATCTGGTCCTAGAACGCAGAAAAAAAGATGCTGTCAACAGACGAACCGATGGAGAACACTTTGACCCCGCTCAGAACAACTCGTATGGCTAGCACCGAAACCGGAGTCGCTGTTGCCGTCGCTGCTGCTGCTGCCGCCGCCACCGCCGCAGACCACATAGACCGGCAGCAAAACGTAAAAGAGCATTTCAACCGAACACGTATTGAACAAACGTCGCGTGTCCTCAATGCGGCAGCATCGGCCGCCCGAGCGAGCAAGCGGCCGACCGACCACCCGCCCGCTCGACCGATCCCCGGCGGCTGTTTTCGCACGGTTCGACCCGAGGCCACTTTCGATTTCTGCGACGGACTGATAACGTCAAACGTCGACGTTGGAAATCACGGTTTTGCGACTGGATCTTCCTCGGCCGGCAGGCGGACAGCTTGCGCGCCGAGGGCTCGAACGACTGACTCAGCAAGCAACCCACCTACCCACCGACGGTCGAAGACGGCTCGCTTTCTCAGCTCAGTGAATCGAGCATCGATCGAGAGTCAAACCGTCAATTGAGCCCCAGTTGATTATCGGGGCCCATTGGCGGTGGAAGTGCTCGAACACAGAGCTCTTCATCGAAGACAGTCACATGAAAGTGTGAAGAGCCTCTTAGCCGGAAACGTGGGCGTGGTGCACCGGTCTGGCGATCCGTCGTCTAGAATTATTGACAGTCGTTCAGCAATCGTAAACGGCCGGAAGGCTCAAGCGAGACAGTCCCAACCGATTTCGTTTCGATCTCGACACGAACCGATCCAGGTAGGCTTCCAGGCGCAGTGCGAGCATGGGCGATACATCGCGGCCGCGGAGACCTGGGCTTGACCGTTGAAGGTTTGGGGTCTCCTCCATCACTCTAGGGAGATGCTCATCGAGATGAAGATGAACTCGTAGCGAAGTTCCGTTCTACCCTCGTCGAATGTCTTCCGCCTTGAGTAATATCCGAGAATAGATTCGACCGGCTGAGCCGAATGCAGATGTCCGGCGATCTCGATTGAAGATTCCACGCGAAGCGCCGCATCGTTAGAACCGCGCAGGAATTCTTCCTGCGGTAATCATATCAGGTGAAGAATAAATTACCGCGCGGTTCCGTTCGTGTCCATCCAGGAGGCTCTCGGCAAAAACTTCCCTCGGCCAGGAACAGATGGATACGGCGCCAAAGACCGGGGAAGCTCGTCGTTCCCCCGGGCGACTTTTACTGAAGAGCGGGAATCTGGTTGATCAACAATTAGCCAGAGTCACTTCCTCCTATCGCGACGTAGGACATCTAGTCTTTCGGAGCATCGCCCCTGCCCAGTGAGAGGCTCATAGGAAAACCAAGTGAATGACTGTCTGCCTGTCGAGTGGTGGTGCTGCTGCTGCTGCCAAGCGGCAATATTTCAACCGCTTGAGTGAGTTTCAATACAGCGTGAAGTGGTGATGCAACCAGCCGCTCCCGAGAAGTTTTCTTTACGAGTCATAGATCCCCCCGTCCTATAGATCGAGAAACGGGATCTCTGGAGAATCTATCCCACTATTCGTCGCGCGGCTTCTCTCCGAAGCGTTATCCGGTCTCGCGTTCGTTGCAATCCTTCGTGTGTCGGAATCAGATCCAAGAGGAAGCGATACAATACTCTCTTCTTCAGCAGAAGATGCCGACACTGATTGGGGAGAACAATGTTCTATCGCTCCTCGAGCTGACCGCAAGTAGACTTCGCGAAAAAGCAGATTATCGGCATTGTACAGATGTACCGGCGGAAACCGATGCCATTCGTGTCTGTCGGTAAGTGCGCTCACCATTAATAATGTTGACACGAATTTTCAAGACGAAAAATGTTGTTGCTTGACACTTAATTTCTTCTAGATACGATCCCACGGCTTACTTCGCCGGTGACCCACTGTGTGCGTCGTGAACGGTGCTGCTGCCCAGCGGATCTTGCGCTTATAATACAAAAGCAGCATCAGGCTGCTGACACTTTGACCGCGCGCTTTCAAAGGTGCCTGTTCAAAAATGATTTTTCCTCAAAAATTTCACTTCTCCTACACCATACATGAACGCACTCACTTGGCTCGAACAGAGCAAAGCTTTTCCGTTCAAAAGGCGTTTTTTTCCGCCGCCGACTTTTTATTCCTTCCTCTTGTGCGATCCATACACATTGTGTTTCGACCGTGTTGATAACGATGGACAGAGACGAGCAGCAGAGATGGACGAAAATCGTTGACAAACCCCTTGACTTGCTAAACCTATTGGCGAGGAGCTGTCGGGACTTTTCCGTGTCGGGGGAGAGGCGCTCGCCGCTCATCGCATAGGTACGCCCAGTATTTCCTAAGCGAAATGTAATCTGACAGAAGTAAGGAAAGATAACCGCAGGGGAAGCGTTTATTCGGGGTCCGTCGGACCGACCAGCTCCGGCGGAAGCAGCGGAACGTAATGGTATACCAACAGATAAGACAGGCCGGCGCTCGTTCGTCTCTGGTGTCTCCCATGAGGAGAATTGCATGCTGCTTGGTTATAAAAAATAAAGCAGATCTGCTGGGAGGGGAGAAACGGTTGGCGGAAACAGTGTTTTGCTTTCGGTTTCGTTACCACCACCGTCGACAGTAGGCGCTTCCGTTTGGCATCGCAGATCAGACAGATAATAACCTACCGGATGGTCTTCTCGTTACAAATAAACGTCGACGACGACGACAAGCAGTCGAAGATCTTCTGCTTAAGAATAGCAATAGCCGATAATCTGCCGATTACGAATAGCTACTATCGACTGTAATCGCCTCGACTCGAACGCCTGACGCTCCAGATACCGATCCGAGGATCTTCTCGGTTCACAGCAGCTGTCGGGGAAAAGGGGACCCCGACGAAAATAATCCGCTGGTCAACGACTTGTGTCCGGAACTGTACGTTCCTGATCTGCGGATGGCTCGCGTCGCAACTGCTCGTAAATGCAAAACCGATAATAAATAGTATCCGGCATCGTCGTAGTAGAGGATCGGTATCTTCGTGTTGAGCTAGAACAGCAGAACCACTGCACGGCCCCCGGGCACAGCCCATCTTTTCAGAAAATGCGAGAAACACCGACCAATTAACAGGAAGTGCTCTATTTAGAAGCGTGTTTCGGATGATGATGCGGGGCTTGTGAAACGTGATGATTCTCCGAGGAAACTCGTCTCCGAACAGAACAGCATCTTTCGGAGACGAGTTTCTGGTTTCGGCGAGTTTCGCACGCTTTTTACGAATTCCGAATGCTCCATCTGCGGCACAGGGTAGAAATATAGATGAATGGATGGATGCATCAGCGAAGGGACAGACTTAGGCATCAAACACCTCAGCGAGCGGCTGACACTGCGAGCCAATGGAACGTTCGGATTCACGGGTCCGTATCATCAAACGATACTTTCGTCAAACAACTGATGTAATCGCTGAGCTCTGACAGCGGAGACTCAGATTTAATGGTTGGTTGGCGTGATGTCGAGGAAGACCCACCCGTAAATAACGACAACGGCGGCGACACCGGCTGTCTTGAAATGCCGCAGGGAGCTCGACTCGATGCCCCAGGGGCCGAGATTATTCCACCGACTTGTGGTCGGTATCTTGGAAGCACCGGAAATCGTACGCAGTTCGTCAGACCCTGTGACGACCAACCGTCCACAAAACCGTGAAGTCCCAGCTCGGATCCGCGAGCGAAGAGCAGCGCAATGTTATCCGCCGGGCTGGCTCGGGCTTGACTTAACCCAGAATGTTGTACTCCGACTCGACTGCCCGGACACCGTTTCGCTTTTCGTCCGAGAATCCGCTTCACGCGACCGCGGTGTTCGTCTTTGTGTTTTTCTCCAATTTACAAATTTTGTTTCTAGCCTGGTGTTTTCTCTTTCTGCTGTTCCTCAGACCGCCGTTGTGGGCTGAACGAGAGGAATCCAAAAATGAAGTTTAAGTTTCATTGGCTGCGCCATTGTCTTGTTGATAACAAGTTGTTTGAACGGAACAGCCCAGGTAGCCACAAAAAACATGGTCTTCAGAAGCAGCCGGGGC